TTTTATCTTGGCAAACAAGCCTCAAGTAATGAGAGGCGAATATGCGGGTCTCCGGTTCTTGTTGCATCGAGCATGAACGCGCGATCAGTAGACGTATTAGCCTGAGTTTTCCGATTTTCGCAAGAACCCATCATCAGATTCTGATGTGCAATCAAAAAGTTTCAATCAAATAACAAGGGAGAGAGAGGGTTTTGTAACGTCGGCATCTAGCTGTGTCACCGTCTAATTGCGTCCTGTTGAATCCCCAATGATTTACACAGTAGGAAGGGCGTAAAACTGGAGGCCACCCGAATGAGAGTTTATTATGTACAAAACCTGGAGTTGTTTTCTCGGGTGGGATTTGCCGCTGGCGTTGTCCAGGGCTGCATTTCCCGCCTCGGGGCAAAGCCCGGCAATGGGGAGCGGACTTACGGTGTCCTTGCAGTCCGTGTTGCAACCCTCTGTCTGAGATATGACAGTTGCTTTTTAGTGATTGTCAAGCGCGTTCACTTTTGGCATGATTGGGTGGGTCGGAATATGGCCACCTACTGCGTGAGGCACCTAAGTGGCCCTTGAGCAACTGCAACCAGTTGGGCACGCATGTGGGCTCCGTTCCGGCCCAGGTTTAGGGTCATCGCATGGACACAGGCATCGCGAAGGCATATGACATTGGAGGCAGTCGGCATTGCCAAAGGAATCCGAGTTGCAGCCGGCTTCCAAACCGAGTAGAAGCGATTACAGCCTGATGGATAGAGTTGAGAGAGTGCAAACGAAGACAAACTCTGCTGTGCTCAGGCCCCTAAACATGTATTTACTCGGAATAGTTGAAACCAAGATTCACAGCCCTAGCGTGGCCGAATCAGCGCCACCTCCGTTAAATGTTAACACCAGTGCTAGCACCAGTTCTACTACACTTCCTGTTGAGATTGAGGGGATATAAGCCCAGTGTTTATTTTAATCAGAGTCACTTCTGACTTACAACACAGTCAGAAATAGTACCAGCAAATACTATCACTCGGCTGCATCCAAGCTAGTATTATTAGAAATAGCAGTAGTGGTAGTAGCAGTACCAGCCCTGGCTTCCTAGAATCTGGCTAGACACCCACTGTAGGTGAGTGAGGGTAGACAGGGTAGTAGTACCCACGCAAAGTCTACTGTCACTAAAGGCTAAGTTTAGCCGGTGTTTCTGGCTACATTTGAGAAAGCGGATTCCGCCCAAAGCCTTCTCGGTCATCTCTACTTCGGTCCTGTCACCGGTTTAATGCGGTGGAGGGTTTGAGTAAAGTAGACAGTTGCGCGTCTTATTAAGATTTAGCTCAAGTATTACGATGTCTTTATGTCGCATGATGCCATTTACCGTTACTAAGCTAACCTTTTGCAGTATCTAAACTCCATCTTGAGGTTTCAGAAGAGGTCTTCTTTTCGAGGCAGTCCTAGGGAGAAGAATATGGCCATGCGGAAGTCCAGTTCACGCTCGGCTCCCTTGGCATATGCCCAACGTAAACGGTCACGATCTGCGAAAGTTGTAGACGGCGGACTTGATCATCACGATAGCATCTAGGGGCCTGTTGACTGCTTTATCTGTCCAACTGCATGCTAAACTAGCA